CAGGGGACAAACACACCCTGGACAGAGCACCAGTCCACTGCAGATCACACACACACCCCAGAGCACCAGCCCACTGCAGGGCACACAACCCCAGAACACCAGCCCACTGCAGATCACACACACACCCCAGAGCGCCAGCCCACTGCAGGGCACACACACACCCCAGAGCACCAGCCCACTGCAGGGCACAAACACACCCTGGACAGAGCACCAGTCCACTGCACTATGTGAAGGAATGGGAGTACAGTACCTGGAGAAAACGCACATGAAACTGAGGAGAACATGCAAACTACACACTGAAGGTATTCCAGAGCAAACATGAATTTAGGGGAGCTAAGAGCTGTGAGGCAGCAGCTCTACCTGATACATCTGTTCTTATTTTAGCCTAAACCACTGTCATGTTAACAAACCCGTTCCATAGCACTCTGTTCAAAGACTAATGAGAGGAAATGCCTTGAGGCAGCAGTGAGTGTTCAGGCATTCTATTTTAATAACTGGCCAAAGGAGTGAGACCAAGCCTTTTTATTCACCCCGCTCTGCACTTCCCGGTACTAATTTCTAAGAAGTCTTTCAAGAAGCTTTTTTGTCTGCATAGTTGGTTAGCATGGTAAATATTTTTTATACCTCAATCATCCAAGTGTTCAAGTGTGGAACATCCAAGTGTTCAAGTGTGGACGCTTCAACCCTCATTTCATTACATTACAACATTATTTTCATTATCTGTATCCTGTATGGCCGCCATTAGCCCCAGTGTCTCTCAAGCTGGGGTAGCTGTTGCAGCTACTATCTGAAGGCAAGCACTCAGGTGTGTGATCCTGATCCTCTGTCTTCTGCCCAGTCATCTTCCCAAAATGTCTCAAATTTCACCTAAAACTTTTTTTTAAAATTTGAGTTGCTCCTTCTACAGTGTTTGCCAATCCTCCCACGTGGGATTTTAAGATGAAGGAAATCCAAGTGCAGAGCATGTTTTGTAACTAGGCACTTAAGACACAAAGGGAAAAAAAACACTCCTGACTTTTTTAAGTTTCAGCAGACTACTGTACATCATGGTAATGAAAATCATGTCTTTGAAACTTGAGAAGACACTGGAGCACCCAGAGAAGACGCACATGGGCATGGGGGAAACATGCAAACTTCTCACAGAAGGTGCCCTAGGCAATCCCAGGGACCCAAGAGCTATGAGACAGCTGCCCTAACCTCCGTGGAGCCGTGCAGCTCTGAACCATACATGCAAATGCTGGACAGCAACGCCAACACCTCACCTTTCCACACCCTGGCACTTCCAGGCCATCCACTGGGCGAGGGATCTCGATCGAGCGCACACTCCCGTACTTGCAGCACTCTTCGCGGATGTCCTCCAGGATCTCCTCGTAGTCTTCGTCGTCCACCAGCTCCTCCGGCATCACCATGTTGAGCAGGCAGAGCACCTCCGTGGGGATCCCTGTGTTCTGCAGGGCCTGCAGGCCGGGCACTTGCAGGGTCACTGGGGCCTCGATGATGGCAGACTGCAATGGAGTAGCCCCGCCAAGCAGTGTTAGAGCCACGCTTTTACAGGTCAACAGCTGGGCTCAATCTGTTTTGCCCACCCTACACCATTCCATGCTGTCTCACTGTCTGCATTAGTGTGTGCCATGGGTAGTAACCCCTGCATCACAAATCCTACAGGCCCATTTAGTCATGGCATCAATAAAAATCTAAAGATCTTTCGATGCCATGACTATGCAAGCAGCATGAACCAGATTACTTCAAGAGTTCGGCTTTCAGCCCCCTCTGACTCTTGTGGATGATTTCTTCGTGTCAGAAATGCCAGCCGACTGCAGCAGTCAGAGTCCGAGATGGCAGATGTCATACAGAGATGGCGGCTGCAGATTGTCCTGCAGAGACGCTCGTATTTTCATAAGTACGTAAGCCATCAAGACGGAGCTTCAGACAAATTTTAGAGAGGTAGCCGTTGCATTTGGGATTCAATTCAAATTGTTCTGCTATTGTTAGAAAGATTTCCGATGTACGTTGTTAAGAGCATGTTACCCCTAGTGAAAGATATCGGAAAAACGGGCACTGTGGCACTTCATAAAAGGAGATGTACTGTGGAAAAGAAACTGTAATTGCATCAACAATTAATGCAATGTTTACTGGAAAACAAGCAAAAGACTTCAAGAAACCAAAGGAGAGAGTATGGCTTCTATACCAGTCACCATAAAGATTTTCAAAATGCTTGCCCCACTAATTTGCTTTACCTGACCACTTCCCTGCACTGAGCGACTGTTTTCAGAAGGCAGTTTAACTTTAATAGATATTTACCATGACGTGGTACAGGGAAGCTGATTTGGTATTATCTGTGCTGCCCAAAACACGCTGGGAAATTTCAGAATGTATTTTAGTTTTTTTTTTACTCATTTTGTATTACCCATAATGGCCCTAGGTGCTATTACTGCCATAGAGCTTGTTCCTTCTCATGCTCACCTCCACCTCCAGCTGCTTCCATCAGTTTACAGGAACGATAAGTATTGTAAATAATAGGGGCAGTCAAAGTGCTGTTTGTTTGCATTAGAAAAAAAATAATGAAAAAAACAAACAAAATATAACTGACATGGTGTGCAAATTCAAAAGCTGATTCACCCAGAAGAGGCTTTCTTTTCAGTTTATTTCTCACTTATGTGTAGATGAAAGCCCCCAAGTTCCCAACCTAAAATATTCTGTTTTTATTTGCAAATCTAAACTGTCTCATATGCAAATAAAGCAAGTGTGGTTCTTTTTTCGCACTTCGTTTTTTCAGATGGTGCAGATATGCAACACTTACTGGATTCGCATTTTTCGCCCCTACGCTGGCCCTCTGAACGATGAGTTTTTTGTCTCCCAGCTGCATGCCATTCAGTCCTGCCACAGCCTGGGAACACAAGGCAGTGCGGAAGAAATCGGGCTGGTGCTCAGTGATGCTTTTGTAAAATGAGTTGGTCACAGGTGAAGGTGTTGAAGGTGCAAATGTGAAGGTGTTCGTGCCTTACAGAAGAAAATATCACAACAAAAACTTAGTATATTTTGAATCTAGTCTGCTCTGTCGTTTCAAAACCAAACACCTACCTGTCTTTCAGAAAACCTTCCTGTCTTAAGAGGCTATAAAGAACTCTTTTAAGCCCTTAATGTTCATGTTCTGGCTTTAGAACAAAAATATTTTTTTACTTTATCTGTGAGAAGCCAGTATCACAGCCTACAAAGTCTTAGATAGGATTGAGATTTCAGTTTTTTAAGTCTACAGCTAGAAACCACCCTGTGTTTTAACTGGGACAGCAGCACACAAGACAAAACCCCACCCATCTGCGACTGTAAAAATGAATGACACTTTGGTATAACACCCTACACATGAACAAAACAACAGTCATTGCTACAGTAGATTCCTGATATTCTTTTCAGATATGAAGAACAGGTTCGCAGTATCAGGATAATCAATGGACAGGCATCCCCGGTTTTACGCCATTGACTTGTTCTGACCTCGGACATATACATTCTCCAACTTTACATTTATCATATGCTCACTATTTAATGTAACTTTATGAATTATTATAATATTTAATTATAATTATTATTCCCAGAACAATACTAAAATAATATAATAACTTATACGGTACATAAAAGGTGGATTTGAAAGTATTATTCTGTGTTGCTTTCATCTTCATGTGTACTGAACATACACAATGCACTATTCAAAGGGACCCCCTGTATAACGAATGAAATGCAATTCAATACCTCCAGTCCTACCTGGTCAGTAACACTGACATCGACATATTCACAAAAGGCATAACCTTTAGACAGTGAGGTGGCGCTGTCCTTCACTAGGTTGAAAGCCTTTAGAGGGCCAAATGATGTCAGGAGCTCCTTTACCTGTACAACAAACAGCAAAACAAAGCAATGACATTCCCAATGGAGAACTGGAACAGATTCCTCAGATTCTAGCTGTGACCAGTATTTTATAAGGCTTTTTTCCACATACTGATGAAAGTCATGTTAAAATACTTTGATACAACACAATGGCATTGACGAGATTAGGTGAAATACCTTTAAGTGTTAAAAACAAAACAAAAAATACATTAATTGTTCTCCTTAAAGCAATGCTACAATTATATCCAATGTCTACTCATACTCTGGTGACTTTCAAAAGGGTAATGTTTAACCAGATCAATGAAGCCAGAAACATTCAGGGCCCATTATGGTCAGATTTACTTTTCAATAAGTAAACTGCTTGTTCCTTCCTAGACACAATGAGACTTGCTTCTACAGACCATCTCCCCTTCCTGTACCACAGATTGCATTTTTATCAGAGAACAAAAAAAAATTGTTTGGGGATTTGTTACCAAAATTCTGACGGTATAGTTACCTCAGTATCCTGATTTTCTAAACCCCCTATTAGAAAGAAAACATGAGGAAGTCTCCCTGACATAGATGCCCAGCTCAATCTGACAATTCCGATACAATCTCTCTCTCAAAGGTCAAGAAGTAGGAGTCTTGCACCTGCCGTGTGACAGAATCAAGGCTGTGTCTAGCACGACCTTTGCAACACCACAGTACAGACAAACAGCTGCGCAGGTTTGTCATTCTGGAAACTAGAAACTAGCTCTAGTGAAAAAACGTGTAAAAAGTTGAAACATTTTTGTATTTATCTGTAACTGTTCAATCCTTATTCGCACAAGAAGCAGGATTATTTTGCTAATAAATGTGCTTGCTGTCTAACCTCCAGTAGCACAAGAAATTCACTCAAATCATAACTCAGAATTCAATAAATAATATACCTTACATCAGATAGACATGATTCCAGTTCTATTCAACAAAAATCTACACAGTACAGTCCAAAGAAACACACAATGTGCTAAATACCAATTGCACCAGACAATTCAACTACAACAAATTACAAAATTACAACACAATTTATACAAATATATGAAATTATAAATTACAAAATTATAAAACTACAACAAAAAGGCTAATTTATCAGCACATTTTGACCAATGTGATGTTCAACCCCGGACCTTATTTTTGTTTCCCAAAACTATTTCTTAAAAACAGATATGAAAACTAAACTGAACAAATATCCCCCCAAAATAAAAACAAGACAACCCATTCTTGCTACATTTCAGGGAATCAAGCAATTGAAGGAGAGTACAGAGTATGAGGAAGGTATTCAGCCTGGCCTGTTTTGTGTGATAGGTGTGTACATAACAATTGTCATGAAAGTATATGTAGTAGTTAAATAAAACAACAGCCAATAAATACATTCAGTGTACTATATATTAATTCAATATTCAGTTTCTAAAACTGGGAGCAAAGACAAAATACTCTGAACATACTGTTTCTACTCCTTGTAGAAAAATGCAATGCTGCAGTAGCAGGTAACTAGAAAAGACTTCACCTGACAGGATGACAGTAATTCATCATGACAGTAATGACAATCATGTGCCTTTTTGCATGTTTTCCCTTAAATTACAACTGCAACTCGCTTCTATATTCTGAATGACTTGAAAAAAAAAACACTCCTTAAAAGCACAACTCATTGGTTGCAAAAAATATTTTTTCCTTTTTTTAAAAAATAATGTTTGCACTAAAATAGATGGAATTTCCTACTACAACAAAGGACTGGCATTGAAGATGCAGTGAAGCAGGAAAAGAAAAGCTTTCATCCTAGAATTTCACAAAAATGATCCTGACCAGAACCAGTGAATGCTCATTTCCCATACCTTTATAAACAGGCAATACCAGATGGACATTCATATCTTACCTTTAGAACATTTTCTGTAAATATCTTTGCCAGAGCTAAACCCCAAAACCAGAAAAAGAATTTCAGGAGTTTTTCTCCCTATTTTAAACTCTTTTTTTCAAATGAGAAATCAGTCCCTTCCGGGCTAATCTCAGAGCCAGGCAAAGCTCCAGAGAAGAGGTTGGAGAGACAGAACCTGTGAGGGAGAACAGCTGACCAAGAGAGGGGTATCCATGTGAGGGTCAGGGTCTCTTACTTGCCTTGTGTTACATGTTGGCATGGCAGCAGTAGATCAGTACTACTGAACAAATTATGAGCGAAGACTTAACGATCTTACAGGCCCCTAGCTGGGGACAAAGTGGGGGAACAAAAAATGAAAGAGCTGTGAGTATCAGGCAGTAACAAGGACTGCAAAAAAAACAAAAAAACACCAGGGTACAATCATACGGTTTCCATTTCATCTCACTGTAGATTTAACATTGACTTGGATCAGAACCCAGGTTTATCACACACCACAAACACAGTCGCACCCTTTTCCCCTTTGAACAGAAATGCCTTCTCTTTTGGGATGGAGCCATGCTTGGGTTCTGTTGTACCTAAGTGCTTTTCTTTTGTTTATTTCTCAACCTTGCAATATACAGTACAATTTAAACATATTGGTATTGCCCAAAGAATCAGACATTTCCAGCATATTCCGTTAATAAAAATGAAAAACATTCTTCTCTTACCTCATAGAGTCAGTGCCTGTTTTGGATACAAGTTTTAAACTGTTTTTTTGGTTCACCTTTGCTCACCTTTTAAAATTTACAGTTTTGCTTAAATGCCTTTGATGCCTGTCTGTTAATGGTAACTCTTATCTTGGTCCAGCCAAATACTTAACCTACAAATAATTAAGAAACAATCCTCTGTTTCTAAACAGAATTGCTTTGATCCTTACTGCCACAGCCATGAATCACTTTGCCTTGTCAAACTGGGACAACAGCCAAATTATTTAAGTTTTGTGATGAGCTACTTGGTTCCAAGGATAGGGAGATGCTTACCAACTGAACACTCACATGGACTTTACAGGTTTCTTAATGCTTGGCTGCTATGTTGGTTTGGTTATAAAAGGTGAAAAACTTGTAATTTGTTCAGTAACGTCAGATGTGTTAGACAGCTAATTTTAAATAAGAAATACAATACACAGTTCAGATTAAAAGGCTAGAGTTTTGTGGTGATATAATATATACATAAAAAGGATCAAGCCTAGTTATAAGGCAGGAAATAACATAACAAAAACTATCTGTATTTTTATATTGGACGCCCAGTTCTCATGGAATTAAATTATTGTATGATAACACAGCCAACAGTGAATACGGTTTTATTACTTTAGTCATATAAGTGCTCTTAAGTGTCTCTTTAAATAGGTCCTGAATGTTCAGTGCACAACACAGAAGTGTGCTAGAACCTCAAAGTTCTTGTCTTTGAAGGCTTTTAACTTCAAAAACTGCTGAAGTTATCTATGCTTTTTCTGACTCTAGTGTACAGAATATGTTTGCTATCACTTGGAACTTGTGACACTTTAAAACAATGGACAATTAATTTAAAACCCCACCAACTAGATTGAGCTAAAATGCATTTTTTCTCACAAAAGCATTTGAAAAAGTATCACTTAAATGAATTCAAACCTACAGCTACTGTTCATTTGAGCAGGCTGTTTTTAGTAATACGCTAATGGAATGTTACAAAAATAAGGTCTGTCAATTAATTTCTTTTCACCCAGTTCCTCTTGGAAACATTTCTGAAACTGGTTCATTTCTAAATGTACACTGGGGATCCGTGAGATGATTAGTTCATCGTTTGGCTCTGTATTTGAATTCAGGGCTCCGGAGTTTACAGGCTAATGGATTAACCTGTCACACATCCTCACACCCACTCGGTGGGATTGTGCTACAGATGTCAGGAACCAGCTGGATCAGTAGGCACCCCTGCTTACATGTTACAGATCAACAGTTTTGTTTTCACATAACTGGACCAGGGCAACAACAAACAATAGTTCAAGCACCTGTTATGGGACTATATGATGTTCTTCAAGCAGTCAAACTGTATTCTGAAATGTATTTGGAACTGTCATGTCTACTTCTCCAAGCTGAGCATGATGTACATAATGAATGGTCATGCAAAACACACAAGAAGAAATAAAAAAATCATAAAAGCACAAGCACATACACTATACTTTTTAGACATATTCTGGACTTTAGAATACAGCAGCCTCACAGTCCAGCTCCTCGCTACGCCTGTATTTACCATTTTCAGTTCGAGCTGAGCTCATTTATTGACCTGAACTCCTCATTTACTTAAACATGTACTTATTGTTTCCAGGCTCTAAAATGTTAAAGAGATTTTAAATTTAGATATTATTATTTGTGAGTAACTTGAAAACTGCAACTTTTTTGAGGACAAAACAATTCAAAAGATCTCTTAATCTCACAGTTTCTTCAGCAAAGGGCTGAACTACGCACATACAGTAAGAAATCCAGCAGCTGCTGGGGTCACGAAGACCCGGACTGGGACACCCTGCTGTATACTTGACTGGTCTCAGGTGAGAAAGTGAGTGAAGATACACATAATCAAGTCAACTTTTCACAACACTAATAAGTACCTGATCGTCATTGAGATAGTTGGGTAACCCTCCAATAAACAGCTTGTGTGGGGAATCTGGCACAACTGTGGAAACTACACCTGAAAGGGAAGGAGTGGGCATTAGGAGTTTCTACTGTCTGGGTATGTCATGAGCATCTAACTTATTAAAAACATTCCTAATGGAAAACCACATTTTTTTTAGCAAGATAATTGGTCAGGCTTCTCTGGCTCTCTACACTCTGCTGTATATCCCAGACACTGCTGGTTCGCTCTCCAGTCAGACCAGTAGTGGATTTCAACTAGGGTTTCTCAAGCAGCACTAGCCAGCTGGCTGAGCACCACTGGGTTTGAGCGGCTGTTGCTCAGCCAGGACCTGTGTGGCTTTCCTGCAAGTTGTCAGGCAGCTGCAGGCTTCCTGCAGTAATGTCAGTGAGAGACCGACACTCCTGCAGGGCTCTGTGGAACGGGCACCACGTCTAAAAATGAGCTGAGCATGTCAGAGAGGCATGTCTCCAATTCACTGGCAGCCACGTGCAGTACAGGTATTGCATATATTAGAACAAAAATTCTTATAAGATATCTTAAAAATATCCTGTCCAGATTTGGTTGGTATACAAAATAAATGGCAATTCCAAGTTGAATTTAAGTAAAAAAATACACTAGATTTTTGCATCAGGCCCGAAATTGCAGGTCTGCAACCTGCTTCCAAGTAATGTGGTTGAAGCTGATTCAATTTCAAGGTTGAAATTATCCTAATGATTCATATGGACAAAATTCTTAGAGCATTCAGCTACATGCAATACAAAGAGCATGATGGACTGAAGGGCACCTTCTTGGGGCTGACAGATGGTTTTGTTGTAGCCCAGGTTGACACATATGCAATCTTTAGATTGATGCATCTCACATACCTGGGACATGAAAAGAAGGCTGCTCTGAAATGCCAGGAAGAGGTCTGTAATCGTGAGGTCTCCTTATTTTTAAGGACTGACCCTGGAATATTATCCCATCGAAAGCCATGGCCTGTGTGGTTTCATCAACTGAGCGAAACTGGGACAGAATTCGAAAGTCAACAAATGAATGGCAAGCACTAGAACTGCACCGACAAAATGAAAGCACCACTCGATATGACACTTATTCTGAAGGATGCCACAAACTGACAGCGGTTGCAATGTGCACCAATAAGTTAGTGGTTCAAGTCTGGGACACTGTGAAATTCTGTTGTGCAGAATGTTTCCAAAAAATCAATGATCTCTACAATGTGACTGGAGTGTGTATAAATCAAATAAAAACATTAAAATAATAATACAATAACTGGGCATACATATTGTAATACAGGGTATATACACGGCAATAGAGAGACGAATCACAAGCTTTAAAAGATAAAATCCGACATAAACTAACAAAGTTATAAAAGACCATGGGAATCCCTGAATTTGAAGTTACAGCAGGGGCAGGCAGGTCTGAAGGCGCTAACAGGTGATCAGGAAAGGTGCAGTCCTGGAGTGTCTAGATATCTGGTTCCTCCACAGGAGTGCAGGAGTGCAGGAGAGGAGACTGAGAGTGAGAAGTAGGAGCGTAGAGTCGGAACAAATAAACTGCCAGCGGAAGATGAGGGGAACAGAAGGGAAAGAAGTGGAGAAAAGAGAATGGGAGACACTGACAGATGCAGCAGTTGCTAAGGAATCTGCAATTCCAATTCACAGTAGTTTCAAAGTTAGAATAAGAACAAAATAAACATCCCTCCCCCACCCCACCTTTCTAAAAAAGAATCTGAGGATTTGGTCTTTGGCAGCTGCTGACCCCCAGTGGATCACGAGAGCGATAGAAGTTGGTTTACCTCGAGGAAAGCAAAATTTTTATCCTGGTTTATCTGTACGGCGAGCACTGGGTTGCTTGGAGCCTGTGACAGCCCTGCGAGACGCATCTGAGCATTGAAGAAATCCGCCATGGCTTCCTACACAGAATCAAACGTTCTTCAGACATTCATTTAACTGAGGCAGAAAAACTCAGCACTCCATTCCAGGCCCAACATCGATTTCTATCTAAGCACAAAAAAGCTTTGATATAATAGGTTGCACTTTGAATAATGTAGTTGAGGAACAGCTGTCTCAATCTTAACTCCTAAGGATCATTTTTGCATATCTGTATCTCTCCCTTGTAAATCAGACTTAACACTGGATTTCCCAGGAAATCAATGCCATGTAAAAAAATTCCTTGGATTAACATAACGCTTTCCATCGCAAAGTATTCCAAAGCCCACATAGGAAAAGACCCACTTAATCCACCACCAATGGGCACCACCTGTCTGAGTGACGCCAGCAGCCTCACTATAGAAGATCAGGTGGAAATGTCAGACACTGATGCACCAGTTAGATTAAGGGGGAACTTTAGGGAGGCTAGAATATGCACGCCCAGAATGGATTTCATTCTTGACATCAAGGTTAACACCCTTATTTTACACACTGTGAAATGGGACTCTTACTAGTATTCCAGACCTCAGCTTACCATCTTATTCAAATGCTGTCAGCTACAGCAAAATACAGCAAAAGTGGTCATCATGCTGTGGCATGGATGTAGAAATTCTGGTGCAGAGCAAAGAGCACCACCTACTAATACACCAACAGCACATACATTAGCAATCTGGTTTTCCTTTGAGGCTTCCCATCCTAGTATCAACGAGGCCCACTGACTAAAAATGTTGTCAACTGATTCACTGTGAACCTTGATCACAACAGTTTAGACTTCCTGTGGCACGCACCTCAGTCACACCAAAGGGAATATTGCCGACGTAGAGCCGTCTGGCCTGTCTGGTCATCTGGCTGCCAACTATGGGCACCTGGGTAGGCGTTATGGCCACTCCACTGGTTGTTGAAGTTGCCAGCAGGGCTATGGTGGGGATCTGCCCCGCGGCTGCAAGAAAAGATTTAGGTCTTCCGAGAAACTTCAGAAGATAACATGTAGCACAAAAGACCAAAAACCCCACTAGCAAAACACAACTAGCCTTCCGAACAGCTTAAGCTTCTGGCCAGCCAAACATTTTTGGGGTTATACGTCTTACTGGATCCAACAGGTAGAATAAACCAATTTAAGATCAGAGAGTTCAGATCCTAATGTTGCAAAACATTACAAAACACAAAATTGCCTTACTTTAGAAGTCACAGTCTTCATATCTGTTAAAACAATGAATTGGAATGAAAGGGCAAACCTTTCAGATCTGGTTCTAATTATGCTCCTTCAGCTAAGAACCAGAACATGCAGGCTTGATCATGATCCACAGACCTGCAAAGATTTCAGTATCGTAAACTAGTGCTGCAGAACAAAAATAGACACTGCTGAATCACCCCTTTCCTGTACATCAAATTCATTTTCCTTCTCTTCTGTCCTCACACCTGCAGTGGACCTCAGACAGTACCTTGCATGGCTTTGTACTGCAATGGGGTGATGTGCTCGAAGCCTGGAGGAGGCACATCCCAGTACCTGCAGGTCCTTTTCTTGCGTGTCCTCCGGGGAGAGTAACTGCAGTGAGTTCAAATATCACAGGTCACTCAACAGGTCAGAGCAAGCAGAGATGTAGTCATGTGTGCCTCTGGGTGACCAGGCAGTGTCTTTCTAGATTTCTACAAGACTCCTACAAGATTATGGGAAATAAAGAATTCTCATATCAAGCTAACTAACTCAGATGTTATCTGTGCACTATCACCACAAGAATTTGTCCAAATGGGCACTTGACTGTGGTTTTGAAGGATTCCCCTATAGTAGAAATACTCTGAGTTGTTACACTACAGAATCAGGCAAAAGAGATGAAGGGGACAGGGGGTACTAGTTTGAATACATGTGGGCTCTAGACATTTTGAGGTTGATCTCAAATGGATGGGTGAGGTGTTTAACAGGAATAAGGAACCACATGCCACCTAACAGCTACAAACAATCGTGGTGGACGTTCTTTTCAATGATTACCTTTTGTCTTTTGTCACTACTGATATATGGACACCAAATCCTTGCACTAAACACCTTTCCTCCTGCCTGTGGGTTTACTGCATCAAAAGCACCTCAGTGGAGGGCTGCTGACAGCTGCACCCCAGGGTACCTGTGCTTCTTGTGCTCGTGAGACCCGCTCCTCCGGTCCCGGCTCTTGCTCTGGCGATCGCGGCTCCGGCTCCTCTTGTCTCGGCTGCCTCTGTCTTTGCTCCAGCTCCGGTGCTTCTCGCTCCGGCTGCGCGACCTGCTCCGGCTCCGCTTTTTGTGCCTCTCTTTTTCCCTTTCTAAAGAAGCCGGGCAGAGAGAAAACAGGGGGGAAAGAAAAAGAAATACAGCAGGAGGCAGTCCGCACTTTCCCTGAAATGCTCCCAGGCCGGCGCTGAGGCTGCCTGAGCCGAACACTCATCAGGCAGCATGGGAAAGAAGCCACATGGCCCTCTTGTCTTGGGGTTGCTAGCAAACAAAGCCAGACAGTCGTGTTCTTATTCTGCACTAAACACAGAACTGCAAACTGCACTGCAGGTCTGGCCCAGTGGCCGAGATGAAATTTGGAATATCCTTAACAGAGCTTTAGGATGGCACAGTGGTTAGCATTGCTGTCTCACAGCGCTTGGGCTCCGAGTTCAATTCCTGGGGTGCTATCTCTGTGGAGTTTGCATGTTCTTTCCATGTTCATGAAGGTTCCCTCCCGCATTTCAAAGACGTTCAGGTAGGTTAACTGGTTTCTGTAAATCTGGCCCTGGTGTGAGTGTGTTTGTGTCTGTGTGTGCCCTGTGATGGCCTGGCATCCTGTCCAGGGAGTATCTCAACTTGTGCCCATTGCTTGCCAGGATAGGCTCTGAGTCACTGTGAATTGGATAAGTGGTTATCCGAAGGTATTGTGAAGATGATGTAACCGAGAACTTTAAAGTTACAACTAATGAATGATGTGTACATAAATTGATCATTTCAATAAAAGTTTTCAGTATTCTGATCTGTGCTTTGCAATGCAACACGTAATAGTTTGCCGGATTACCTCACAATGAAGTGAACTGGATATGGTATTAGAATCCGAGACAGGTCAAAAAAATTGGACGTACTCAAGCAATGACAAACGATGGGAGGAATAGGAACAGTAGTGAATACACTCCTGTTTGAAAAACATTGTGACACCTATCAAAACCAGAGCCTTCACTCTGCAGAAGAGAAATTAGCTTGAACTCCTCTTGGCAGACAAGAATAATCTATATTTTATTCTACAGCTACCTTCCAACGTAATTTAAATACATTTTCATAAACAAAAGGATAAAATATAACGTTAAAATAAATTATTTTCATATATTACCACAGTCTACTATTAAAACGTAATATATATATAAATAATATGATACACCAATAATTCATAATGCATAGTTTACCTACAAAAGGCACTTTACCGTGGAATCGAAATTATTTCAGATCCAGCGTCAATCCAAAAAGGCATTCAGCACATCTGGACAGCCAGTCTAAATAAACATCATACTCCCTAAGGCATGGAAATGGTGCAGTAACGAAAGCACGTTGTTTGGGGGGGCATTGCTAGCCTTTAACAGATTCGAAGCAATATTAAATCTGAACTAGTGTATGTCTTGAAACCTGGGTATACATGGGTCTAATAGAAAGCAAATTATTTTTGCTTGCGATCAAAACCAGGCTCTAGCCATTAAACCTATCCTTTCAAACTCACCCTGCCGGTTTTCGCTCAGCTGTTTCTCGAACTCCTCGAAATCAGACATTTTTTTCCACGATTCTCTCAATGCTACATGGGGAGATAGTTGGCTTAGATTTTGGGGTCACCCCACTATCTCCGATTTCTTCCGAGTCTGGCGCTGCGAGTCAGGTTTCAGTGTGAAGAGCGACGATTACCCGAGGCCAATCACAAGCGTGGATACCGCAGCTCTTAAACGTCACTTCCCTTGATGGGTGTCCTGTAAACCCCTGGAATAATACCGTATAATTATCGCCCAGGTACTGCGGATGATATGTGCCTTCTGTTTTAGCTCACAGTCACGGAAAAAAGGCATTATTTATAAAAGAGTGTCTTCATCCCTGAAATTTCAAAATGTCATTTTTTACGAATGTAAATAGATATTCGCTAAATCATTCATTGTTCATATACAGTATTCCTAATGTATCCCCAAAATATGCAGTATTTGCATGGGTTAGGTCAATCGTTGATTTACTTGCAGAAAAGCTGCCTTTCCTCCTGTGCATTTACAAGTATGCCAGCTTGTTAGTGCAGTGGTCCATTGTAAAAAATGTATCTGTACGTAACTTGTAATGTCTAATCGTATACTGTACTGCTGTAACAAACGTAGCCCTATTATTAGTAATGATCCATGGAACACGACACCCAAGTGCTTGGAAAAGGACTGACTCAGCTCCAAGTTAAAAAAAGCTTACCAATCCTCTGTGAGCCGGTCAAGCTACCGTTCGGGTCTGCTAATGGGCAGAGAGAAAAGCTTCTGATTAACAAGTTATCCCTGGAAAACAACGGCCTTTATCGGCACCAGCTTTAGTTCCTTACGCACACTGTAAGTGATCCTAAAAAACAAACTTCATTGCAGGTGTACACAGATGTTAATCCGAAATTAATCTAAACGGATTTGGGCGTGTCACGACGTCAAGCCTTATAATAGCGCTATGACAGGGTAACAATTTACCCTTGAAATAAAAGGCGCCTATTGTAACAATGCATGCTCATTTTCAAGTGTACACGCAGAATAACAAAGTGTACGCTTTGTTATTCTGTTGCGGCATGATGATTATTCTGTTAACAGCATGAACCTAGAAGGCAATTTAATTTTCGTCTCTTTTTTAAGAGCAACAAGGGGTTGAAAACTTTGAATCCCAAATACTAGACTGTCTGTAACAAACACACTGGTGCTTGTGTATATTTAGAAATTGTTCTCAGACAGACCACACGGACAGCCATAATACTTTTCCTCGGAGAAATATACACTTTGTTTTGGCATTCTGAGGTTACATAGCTCTGAGTTACATAGGAGTTCTCCGAAAAGAACACTCACAAAAGAATGGAATACAGCCTGTCACCACGTATTATAATTTCCTTTGGATGTAAGGATAAAAATGAATATGTCCAGGACGTCATAATTTAATGTTGGGGTTCATTGCAATGACTTAGTTTAGAGCTGAAAGCTAGTTCTTATTCACAAGATGGCAAAGCTTTTTAAAATGGTTTTGGGAATGTTTTTTTTTTAATATTTTAAACTGAGTCGATTTACATTTGGAAGTAAATTTCAGTAAGAAATGTGTAATTTGAGACTTTTCTTCTTCTTCACACAGAAGAATCCACTAAACCAGCAAAATCTGAATAAACAAAAGCCCTAACAATAGAAATACAATTTATTTTAATCAAGTTAGGTATGGTGCCCTGGTTTTAGCAAATACAGATTGGATACGATCTACATTACGATTGTGTGTAATGTATTACATTAATTCTGAACTAGAAAACTATGAAATGTTTTATGAAATTGCTCTTCCAATATCACAAGTATATCTTACCCAGGCTGTCCAAAATAATTCAGTACAAAACCATGTCTAGCAATATGGTAAAATAAACAACAAAAATATATCAGACTGTAAAAAAAACTGTTTTCAATTTTGTTAAAAAAGTGCAATCAGTGTTGCTGATTCATTTGGAATGTTGTTCCACTGTCAATTTACTAAGCAACAAACTGCACTAGCCAAAAAATTATTAATGACTGTTTATGCCACAGAACCAGCCAGAGGTCAAGAGACTGAGGATTGAACAGATGAGTATTTGATTAAAGGAAACCACAAATGTAATCTGGTGTAAAACTATTCAGCACCTAATTGTTAGAAGAAGAATTTTGAATTTGAATGCAACAGTAGGTTTTGATTCAATTTTAGGCATAGTATTGCAGTTAAATTTGTATTATAATGCGGTATAAATTGTATAAATAAGCATTTATAAGATATTCTGTTAATAGCCAATTTACTATTAACTGAGCCTGTTAAGAAAGCATGTACAGATGAACATACTTGACTCTAAAATCAAGCCTATCCTGAACCTTCATCACTTCTGAGTAGCTCCTGATGGTATATTAACATGTTGTACAACCTCAGCTGTTAGAAAATTGATGATTAATAGACTGATAACAGCAGTTGTGCCTTCTTGTAGCCTGATCAAGGCTAGACCTGGGAAGTACTGGGATGGGTGAACTAGCAAAGCTTGGATGCAGCTCTACATTGTATTGGTAGACCAGTAGGTGGCGCTCCTCTCAATGGACCAATATTTACAAAATAAAGCCCCAGTAGGTAGGCTTTCTTAGGCTTTACTAGGCCAGTAAGTAACTGAGGACACTCAGCTACAGGATCTTCAGGTGAGGTCATCGGGATGACAATGCGATCATTAATGGAGTGTTTGGATAATCTGGCTTCCCTAAAGTTTCCCATTAATTCAATTAGAAGTGGGTTCTCACTTCTCCACCTGATCTGTCCCCGTAGTGGGACTGCTGGTGTTGGAATAACTTCAGTCCCACCCACTGGGTGAAGACTACACTTCAGTTGGGGATGAAGTGGGACTCTTCCTATATGTAAAGCAGTTTAGGATCCTCTGGGGTTTTAGTTTTAGTTAAAATTTGAGCTGCAGCACTTTGTACACATTTGCTGCATTTAGGCATCTTATTCAGGACATTTTTTAAAACACCAGTTTTCCAAACATTGCAGTAGGCTTTGTGAGAAAATACAAAAGAATGAAACTGCTTCATTGCGTCCACCTAGGACAGATGAAAACAAAAGCAAGCAATGTTATGTAGGCCAAAAAATGTTAGTACTATCAGCATGTCAAATGTTTGCTTCAAAAAACACTCAGATTCTTTATTTTACTTCTAAGCTGAATCTCATTTCCATTAACGTACATTTATGGAGCTGATATCAAGAACCACTCAGCAATACTCCATTCTAATCAGTTGTAAAAACATGTGCTGCGTCCAATTCTTGATATAACCCAGACAGTGTGATAAGGCAGCAGAACTAATCCCTGAGGATCACCTGATAAGATCATTTTCTTAGAGATGAACAATTTCCAGTTTATGCAAACTCTTCCATCTCAATTAAACAGGATTTATACCAAAAAAGCTCATGTCTGGTAACACCTACAAGACCTTTCCAGTCCGCTTGGCTGGATAGCATGACCGACAGTGTCAAAGTCAGTGTAAACATCTGATTAGTATGAAGACAGAATCAGCATTCATGAGTAAATTATTGAGAACTATGAAAAGACCAGCATCTGTACTGAAACTGCTGACCTGAAACCGCACTGCAAAGGAGATTGTTAGCGCATAGAGGATTTTGTAACTGAAGTGCAACAATATGTTCCAGGATCTTTGCCAAAAATAGTTAATTAAAAACAGGTCAAAAACTGCAGGGCAACATAGCATCCAAGTTATGCTTTCTTAACGAAATGACAGCACATTTAAACTCTATAGAAAAAACACCATACATAAATGACACATTGACATTGTGTGTTGCAGCAGGGCCTAGATAAAGCATACTGTAGATGTAAAAATAGGTTTCAGAGAACAAGAACTAGGTTTACTTTTTTCAATCAAGTTTGAAAATCCAGACTGGAGAAACTTCTGACATCTGAATGACAAGTTTCAATACACTTCAGAATTCAATAAAGGACCCACCAATTCTGCAACCAGACATAATTAAAAAAAACTGATATTTTTAGTTTTTAAGCAGAATAACACACTTCAATGCATCAACAAATGATTTTTTTTAATTCAAGATTATTTGCTTATTTTTAATTTGGTCTTGAACTGTGAAAAAGAGCCAGAGAGTCTACAAGTTTCCAAAACAATAACCCGGAAGGCAGATTTAAGTCTTCATCTATCCTCCATTTTATGCGCTGAAGCATTCATGAAGCACAGGGAGAAATGCAGGAGCTAGAAAGGTCAAGGTGTTCAAGACGACTTGAATTGCAAAAAACATCTAAATCCTAATGGCCTCAGCCTGCATAACTTGACGCTGCTCAAAACAAGCAATAAAACAGATTTTTGATGTGCTTCAACATTTATCTGTCTTGAGTTCACTTGCAGTCGAATGTGAATAACTATTGGGAATGCCAAGTCAAAGCGCATGGCCCGGTGTTCTGAGATTTGAGCTCATTTGTGAACCTGCAGATGGTTAAATATGAAGCTATAAGATATAACTCCATGCAACTGATGGCCCCTACATGTGTGGGAGGGAACATGAACGTTTTGAATAAGACCAAAACACTTTAACAAGGGCATCTCTTCTGTGAAGAGATGGTTTTGAGAATAAGTATGGATCCTAAACGATTCCAAGAATAACATCATACTAAAACCAGGAAACAATGAGGATAAATGAATACAGCAGTTGCCCATGTTGGAATTACTCTGCTTATGTGGGAGGTATGTGATCATTACAGCCCGAGTAGAGAATACCTTGAAAAACAAACTTTCAAATGACAAGAAATCAATAGTAGCAGTTTCAGGGCAGCTTTTGACAGGATGTGCTGTATAACTGACAAGCCACCACCAAGGCTATAGATGCATGATGTGTTCCATACCGAGAGAGTTCTACTTGAAATTTAAACAGGAAATTTACATTCTGTAATTATGCCACATGATGACTTCCTGTGAAAAATTACCCTTAACAAGAAATCCATAGCAACAGTTACTTGTTACTATGTTACTTACAGTAATTTGTTTAATTATTGCTTGCGATTGTATAACTCTTCCCACATGGTAGACCCACTTCATCCACTACTAAACTACAGTTCTCACTTGAGTTATGCCAATATATTCAAATAGCCATTCTGTGCCTGCAGCTCCACTCCACGTTAACATCTTATCTAATTTAGAACCTCCTACAGTACACTGTCCCTGGGCACCAAATTGGGGCATGGGATTAAAAAATCTAGTCTAATTCTAAAAGAGAGCCTCCTGCTGGAGCATCCTGCTTTTTCTTGAAGCCTTCCCATCTCCGTGCTGAGAAGCCCCGGCCTGTCTTAGCTTCTGAGATGTGATTAAATCAGGCTATAAGGTGGTGATGCTGATGTCAGCAAGGTCTGTGTTCCATAAAGACGTACAGAGCAGAAAGTAGTTAGTGTAAAGCTGACAGCCTGAGCCCTTATGCTGTGTTAGAAAAGGAAACCTTTGTTTTTTTCTGCGAACTGGGGTGCAGTTTGTCTAAAAATACAGTTTACATTATTCCTGGTAGCTGAGGAACCAGAGAGATGTAACTTTTGTTTAAATTAAGGACAGAAATATTCAAATTATTAGCCCATTTACTTGTAATGTAAACCACTTAAGGCCCAACGGAGAAAATTTCCCTCGAGAATGTTCCTTGGAGCTCTGCTACAAAATTCCTTCAGATGACTACATTCTTTCATGTTGAGCACAAGACAGTTTGATCAACAGCGTGTACTGTCCTTTTTCGTTCCTCTGTTCTTTTCTTCCAGGACATGGGGTTCACATCTGTTTTCATTTTGCCGGTGTTGGTGGTGCTGGTGGCTGGGATGTATTACCTCTACAATGAAATAGTCAAGTTCATGTCCAAGTCAGTGGTGCGGAACAAAGTGGTGGTGATAACGGATGCAGTGTCTGGACTGGGGAAGGGTAATTCTCTTTTTAACATCCTGTTGACTGACGCAAGTTATTTCGGACATCAGCGTCAGATGTTATTCACGTTCACTTTTTGACTAATCCTAAATTGTGGGGCCATTACATTTTCATAGCTGTAATTGAAAGGGGTACCTTTGACCTTGATATAATTAAATGTTGCAACATGCCACACCTGCATAGAAATAGAAAATAAATTCCTCTCCCACATAGACATATACAGACGACTTGCCACTTATTCGGGATACACCTTGTGCACAAAATGAACAGAGCAGGAGGCTGAGTATGTCATGCTGACAGCCTGAGTAAGAAAATGAAAAGAACTGATTGCATGTACATCAGGCAGGCTGTGCAGCCTGTTTGTGCAGTAGAATTCCCCCTTCACTGAGCCTTGCAATTTATATTACAACAAAATCTAAAAATATATAGCTCTGGTTTTGGAATATCAAAGCAGAACAGCTCATTTTATACTTCTTATATTTGCTAAAACGTATTCATTTTTGCTGTGTTATCCCACAACAGACTTGCAGAGTTGGCTGTCTTGTTGTGACTCAGCATGAGTTTAAAAAATCCAAGGCAATGCGAGGTGGAGTAATTGGTCCAAAAACGGGATCTGTAGTGGATTTGCTTCTGGTATTTATGTTTGGTTATACAGATTAAATAGGATGAGGCAGAACAGGCTGGCGGTGGGTGGGGAGGCAGTGGCATGCTGGCACATGGCTGGAGCCATTCTGTTAATTCCAGCCACGCCCCCCCCAGGCACATTACAGCTGCAGGCACACAGGCAGAACGTTGGCAGTGCCCAGCCTGGCCTCCCCCTCTCGTGGCGTGTTGCCAAGCAGTGTCTGAATCCAAGATCCTTATCAAGGGCCGTGACCTTGTCTTATCAGCAGTCGGTAAAATGACACTGTAATGGCCTCTTTGAACGCACAGTCTTTTAAAATGTAAGCACAATGGAAAGAGAGAGAGTGTTGGGGAGATGCAGCAGACCGCAGCAGGTCATCTGTATGCAGCTGTCAACTGTGTGGAACAAGACTGCAGTTGATATTTTTTTAGCCAATTGTTTCATCTGACTCAATACAGTAAATAGCTCTCTGTCTACACAGAGTGTTCCAGGGTGTTTCATATGGGAGGAGCCAGGCTGATCCTGTGTGGGAAAAGCTGGGAGAAGTTAGAAGCCCTCTATGACGCCCTGAACAGCGTAGCAGACCCGAGTGTGGTGAGTTCACTGGGGGACAGGCAACACGATGAATGACTTCATGTCCAAAACTCAAGACCTGTCCAAGAACCACCCTGTTCTGGAAGTTGAGGCAGTGACAGTAATATACTATTGTATGGCCCTGTTTCATGAAGTTGACTGCTAGTCTATAAGAACATTAAGAAACCTTAATTTTGCCTCAACCCCCTAATCTGCCACTATCACATCTTCCATTTCTTGTGTGAAATTAGTTATACTAATGAAAAGCATTCAGTCACTCTGTACATGATCATCAAAGTTTATTTCAATTCAAATTTAAAAGCTTTAGCGTGTCCCAAGTTACCCTAAACGTTTCCTTTTCATCCAATAGACAAAGGCAGGATTTCCTCTTTGTTGATTGACTGTCGACTGTTACCTCTTTCTTAACTGATAAACATAGATAGACAGAGAGACAAACCCCTTGTGCAATAGATTCACTGCAGAGCAGGAAGAGCAGTTTCTTTTTTCACCATTAAGCTGTAATAGTACATTTCTTTAGTAAGGCAGAGTAAAGAGATCATTTGGGAAGTGGGTGAGAAATTTCAAAACATCCGTGGGGAAGGTTTTGTTTGGACGAAAGGTTAAATGACGCATCCCAGGCATTCATTGCATATACAAGCCTTAAACGTCCACATATACTGTAAACTGTGAGTGCAGGAACACAGACAGTGATCTTTTAGCACATGTACCAGGCTCTGGGCCAGAAAATCCCTTGTCTTGAAAAATCTCCCACGAAAAAAAAATGTCATATTGCCAGCAGATTTAAAAAAATAATAATTAATTGCTGGTATTTCTGTGGCAATCTCTGTCAAAGAAAGGCCAGAACAACACAAGCATGCTGTGTTTGGAAGCTGTGACAGTCTAGAATTAGGCATTTGTAATGGAGGGAAATTAACCCTTATTTACAGTGGTTGTACATGCTTCATGGTTACATGATAAAGATAAGTTGTTTCCCTTCCTGACCAGACTGCAGTTTAACGTTAACATATGGAGTTTACAAACATTACAAAGGAAAATGCAATGTGAAAAGAACTGTTGCAACACCTAAAACACATTGTAGCCAGTGTGTGTAGAGCTGGATGAAAGAGCAGACGTACTGCACATTAGAAATGGGAATAGGGAACAGTTATTTTCAGGAAGGATTGCACAAGCTACCCAGAAACCCTGTATTCTTAAAGAAGCATCTCTGGGGTCCTCAGAGGATACTATGATTTCAGATGTGTTAGCAACTTGCAACCAAAAGCAACTTGCTTGCTTGGTAGAACAGCCTCATCTCTCTTATGTTCTTACCAAATCCTTTTTCAGTAAACACTTCAACATGGATTGTTAAAATTAGACTGGGTCGGTGTTTAAGATTATTGATCCCAACCAAACATGTGGCATTTAACAATGAAATACGTATCCACCAAGAACATGAGTAACACGTTTCTCGTTGTTCATTGCTGGAGACTTTCACACCGAAGCTGGTACTCCTGGACCTCAGCGACATCAACGGTATTCCGGAGGTGACCAGAGAGATCCTGGAGTGCTATGGGTGTGTGGACGTGCTGATCAGCAATGCCAGTATGAAAGTCAAAGCACCAGTGCAAACATTGTCACTTGAAATGGATAAAAAGATCATGGACACAAATTACTTTGGACCGATTACCTTAACCAAAGGTACTGTGAAATACTGTATGTTGAATGTAGGAAGCATGTTTTTTTCAGACAGATTATAATTAATTCTGTGAACATGGGTTTCAGCATGTCATTTTTTTCCATGTCAGGTCTTAATTGGTTAATTGCATATGATATCCTCGTCACTATTGTTTCCAAACCCATAGATGTTTAGGACTTTCAGTCCTCAATCAAAGTTGCAGGCCTGGAGAACTCGTTCCCTGAGACTATTTGGACATACTGTGTTGTACATTAGAGCATTATGGTCTCAAAAAGCCCCCATATGTATATTTACTGTAGTCTGGTGACACCTACTGTAGGAGTCCTCAAATACTAACCAGGGTGTCAACAAGTTTGCAAAAGGAATCTGTTTTGACTGCTCTATAAATACCCTGATTTATTACAGAATTATTACAGAAGCCCTACTTGTTAGAATTCTAGACAGCAATTCAATTTGGGATCCACAGATTTCTTCAACAAGATCTTCCAGCTGTCTTGGACTCTCTCGAGCCCAGATATGTCCTTGTTTGCAGGTCTCCTTCCTTCGATGACCTCCAGGCGGACAGGACACTTGGTGTTGGTAAACAGCATTCAAGGAAAACTTGCCATGCCCTTTCGCACAGCCTGTAAGTACCTCTGGAAAGCTAGCTACTAACAGCAAAGCTGGATTTATTTGGCTAAAAAGCCTAAAATCTCAATGAAAGATAAACTGCTGGCATTCATGTGGGAAAGGTTCTATGTTGCCCTTTTGTCCTCCTGCCAAAGCTGCTCATTTCTATGAGTGGTTTACTGCTCATTTCATCTTGATTAGTCTATATCTTTTCGAGATAATGTGAAAAAAATCTACCTAATTAGAAGTATCCCTTTTTTCAAAACAAATCATATATACATACTGTACCAGTTTCTTCCAAATGTCTGTATAAGGTACTACTGCAGCACAGTAGATGTTTATGTTTGTGAAATTTTCAGTGCTATTGCACGTCTTTTTAGAGAGTTTTTATTAAATAGACCATCTGTACACAGATTTCCATTTAACTTTGACACAAAGTATTTATCTTGGCTTTTCAGAAGGAATATGCCTTCTTTAAGAAGAAGTCTCTTCTTTTGCGAGAGACTGCAATCTCTCACACAGCACTGTACATGCTAGCTCTGTGTTAATACTATGCTAACACGGTGCATACTCACTCCATGCTAACGTTGCACATGATAATGCTGGTAGGGCATGCTAACTCTGTGCATGCTAGCTTCATAATAGTGCTGAAGCTTGCTACCTCTGTGCATGTCAGCTCTCTGCTAACATTATACTAACCCTGTACATGCTAACTCTGTGTTAACAGTGTGCTAGCATTTTGCGTGCTAGTGCTTTGCTACCATTGTAGTAATGCTTTGCGTGTCCACTCATTAAATGAGTGCTCATGTGCTCATTAAAGGAGGATTCAGAAATGAACACTGCTACAGAGCCCCATGAGGAGCTGTGCTCTTTTTCAGACGCCGCCTCCAAACACGCTGCGCAGGCCTTCTTCGACTGCCTCCGAGCCGAGGTCGAGGAGTACGGGATCTCGGTGAGCACCATCAGTCCCACTTTCATCCGATCCTACCACCTGCAGCCCGAGCAAGCCAACTGGGAGAAGAACATCTGGAAATGTAAGCTGAACTTGGCAAGACTTACGTTGGGGACAGGTGTCACACTGTCTTTGCTGCCCCTATGTGCAGTTCCTTGATGAAATGACGGGTGCCTGGAGACAGCGCGTGATGCGGATGGCAGGTTAACTGTGTGTGGTGTGAGGAGGTCATCTGTATGGAACACAGTGACTTCACAGTGTCCAAATAATAACTTCTTCATGCCTGGGGCACCTTCACATGGGAAACTGCAAACACAGATGCTGGTCGAAGGTTCTGGAACTGATCCTGACTTTATTTTAAAGTGTTTATATAAGATGAGAGCAAAACAAAAGATTTCAAAATAAACTCTTCTCTCAACTCAAGCCTAGTCAGGGAGTGGCTTCCAACACTACTTCATCTTAGAGAACTCTACGCATTCCAAGTGAACTAACACCTTCATTTTCAAAGACACATTAGCAATATTAGAGTTTTAGTTCCGTTAACTAAAACAATAGGCAAAGTGAGGTGAACCATTCGCAATATCCTTGGGTTTGGTACTGTAGTGACCTCTAGTGGCAGCCTGTTTCTTTCTGACCAGTGTGTTTTTTCTACAGATAGTAAATTTCATCCATCCGTTTTCCGACTGCTTCTATCAATTGAGAGTTGCGGGGGAAGCTGGAGCCTGTCCTTGCAAGCAATGGCTGAAAGGCAGGGTACGCCCTGGCCAGTCCATTGCAGGGCAGACAGGATCAAACACAGACACAGACACACACTCTCTCACAACACACCAGGGACACTTTTCCCAGAAGCCAGTTAACCTACCAACTTATCTTTGGACTGTGAGAAGAATTTCAGAGCACCCAGAGGAACCCCACATGAGAACAGGGAGAACATACAAACCCTGGAAAGCACCCCAGGTCCAGAACTGAACGACTGTGTCACTGTGTGTAAATTAAGTTTAAATGCCCTTTCAGAGATCACAACTACATTTTTACCAAGATCACATTACATTTTTAAACCACCATTTCAATTACAGTTACATGGAAAACCACATTTTCCAAGAAAAAAAAAGTCCATGCAATTGAAATTGTAAACGTGGAAACTGTAGTAAGTTGTTTTTAAATGAAAAAGTAACTTTACACCTGAACTATGCCAGGCATTCCATCTCACTAACACACTCTTGGATCCTAGTCTTTTTCAGGAAGCTGTCCCATGGAGTTCACCCAGTGGAAGTTGCGGATGAGATACTAAGAACCGTGAGTCGGAAGAAGAAAGAGGTCCTCATGGCCAACCCTGTTCCCAGAGCCGCCCTGTACATCCGCTCTTTCTTCCCCGGGCTTTTCTTTGCTGTGGTGGCGGCCGGAGTGAAGGATGTCACCCTGGTAGAGGAGGAGAAGCAGTAGAGGAAGGAGCAGAAGGCTGGAAGGGGCTGTTTGTGCCGCTCTCCTGTGTCCTGTTGCTTTGTGTCTTCCCTGTCTGTGATATGATTAGATGTGAATCTCTTCTTTCATGGTCATTTGCGAATAACACTATTCAACCACAGATTACTTTGGAGAAGTCTTCTTAAGAATGAACGGAAGGAATGTAAGGAACCAAACTGAAGCAATTTTAGGCGTCTGTCTGGGGAACAGGCTGCAAAAGGTCTGTAAAAGGCTAAAAATCTAGCTTTCCCCAGCACTCTCTATCTGGATTTAAGGAATTTTTATTAAAATCCAATGGATAAGTAAAGAAGGAACAATATCTAGGAACAATAGGAGAAAGCACGCTTATAAAGAATGGTACAGAGCAAACATTCAGTACAGTTTTGGTCCTTTATTTGAACCTGTTATAAATGGATGAAGCTGTGAAGTAGCTGAAGAAAAAAAGAGGTTTATTTTTTACCATGCTGTATGTGCATTCCGGCCCCATCTACTGCACCTTCTATTTTAGGACACAAGGGACTACAAGCACAGAAATGTGATGCAGTGTGGAATAAAAACTTGTCAGTGGTCCCAAAACAGTGGCTTATTTTAACCTTATATAAACATCTTTCTTGACGTCATACACTGTACGAAAACATCTTCTGTAAAGAACCACATTTAAAAGCATGTGTTCCAGTGCAAAATGTGCCATGACTCAGACTCCAAATAAACTCCTTTAATTTTTAACCATATTCAGTAAAAAAAGGTTTCCTGTTTCCATAAAATTGTTGTCTCCTACCAGATCTGCATTGGTCTGCATATTAGGTGGGGTGTAAAATCCTGCCTAACATGCAAAAAGTTACTCAGAAACGTACAGTACCTTTTATTATTAAAGTGTTAAGCCTCAAGTTAACATTAAGATATACTGCTCAGTAAGGCAATGGAGATCCTCCTCCTTCAGGACCACCAGTGAGGTAGAGGCCAGTGTAATAGTAACTACGGTTCTGAAGGAGCCTTTATTTTGGCAGTGAGGCTTGTTTGCTCCCAAAGCCTGTACCAATCTGGTCTACCTCCACCAACAGGGCAAGGAAGCAAGCCCTTGTCTGGGTCATTAGGAGCAATCCTGTCAGTGGGTGCAGCAGACTTGCCCCTCATGTTTTTCTTCGCCTGAAAGCTGTACACCACAACAGCCCCTGTGCCCTTTGTGCACCTAACTCTTTAAGGGACCCCTGAATTTTGGGTCATGGGGAGAAGGGGATTGATCTTCTGCTCTAAGACATAGGTCCTGGTGTGTTAGGTGGTCTTTTTTATAAAAAAAGGCCAACTCAACTACTTTAAGGTTTACAGAACCATTTTAACACTTTTCTCCAAAGCATTTATTGAAAGTGTTTTAAAATATTGTCTCGCTTGTTGCTTTGACAACATCAGTACTGTTACTTGAAATAGGATGGGAAAATCTTTCTTAGTGGGTAATCTTAGTGAGGATAATCAGCAAAATAACTGGGACAAATTTAAGAAACATAAAGGGGTTAAGAGCATTATGGAGTGTGTGTCTCACCCTCCATTGTGAATTCTCTAATTCTCTCTACTCTACCATCAAGGATGTGCCTCTGTGTCCCCAGTTGTAAAGATAACAGATCTGGGAAATCTTTCATACCCTCTTCAATCTTGCTCTCAAAAAATGCAAAATAAACGTATCTCCTGAAACACAATTGTACTGTATTCTTTGTCTGTGATGTTTGTCAGTTTTTGGTGTATTGTTGTTCTGGTCTGTCAGTCTAGAGCCGTTAAACAAATCTCCCGCAAGGGACAGTAAAGCTTGAATTATCGTAACATTACATGCGGCAAGAATTGGATGCAATTGTACCACCAGAGGGCGTCCAAAGCCACAATTGTCAAAGATGCATGCAACTTTTACATATCATTAATCTTTTACTACCGGGCACATCAACACACTTGACTAGAATGAGCAGCCCTGATACAAAACAGCAAAACACAAATTGCACATACACAGTACATTTTTTTCAATAAGTGCAACATCTAAGATCTACGTATTGAGGTGCCTGATGACCTTCAGATGGATGCTATTTCAGAACTGAGCGGCACTACAGTTAACGCTTTGAAACTTCCTCTCCAAAGGGAGACGTTTAAAAAAGATGGCTGAATGGCAGGGGTCTATGACACCTTCTTAGCTTTCCATTAGATGCGTCTGTCACAGAGTTACCAGAGTCTGATGATCTTGGATGCTGTGCGAATGACTCTTTCCAGCTATTCTGGCACTTGGGCAGTTGTATTTCCATACCACACTGTTATCAAGAAAGTGACCATGCTCTCAATCTCAGTAACAATAGAAGTGAGTCATTGCTTCTCGATTAACTTTTAACTTTCTCAAGTGTTGTAGGGAGTACAGCCTTTGAACGGCTTTCTTCGTGGTAAGGCTGGAGTTAGCTTCCCACTTCAGTGAGTGGCAGATGGTTTTGCCGAGAAACTTGAAGGTGTCCACTCTCTCCACAGACTACCCATTAATGACAAGCGGTAGCAGATCACCTCCACCCCTACAAAAGTTCACCACCAGCTCTTTGGTCTTACCAGTGTTAAGCTCCATTTATTCTTATTACACCACTTGGCCAGTGTACTGATCTCACTTACATGTGCTGTTTTGTCATTCTTAGTGATTAAACCTACTAATGCTGCATCGTCAGTGATTTTTATTATATTCGCAGACTCTGGAGAGGAGACACAATACTTTGTGTCCAATGGGTAAAGGAGTGGTGACAGTACCCAGCCTTGTTAAACATGTTACCCATTTCACCACCCGCTTTCTATCGCACAGCAATTCGGAGATGCAATGGCACAGGGACTGGCTGATGCCCAGCCCCTGTTTATCAAACAGCTTTAGAGGCACAATCGTATTCAATGCTGAGTTATAGTCGACAAACAGGACCGTGCATACATAGCAGGGGCTTCAAGGTGCTGCAAAATGGAATGAGGGCAAAAAGAAACAGCATCCTCTACAGACCTATGGGATCGGAATGTGAACCAGTAAAGACGTAGCTCGAAACTGGGCAGGTGGTTGCAAAGCAGTCACTCAGAAACTTTCATGATAACTTTGGTCAGATCCATGGGCTTATAATATTGCCACTGGAATAACCACTGCAGGTTAAAAACATTCAAGAACTTCACACGGCTCAAGAGACCTGTTTAAAATGCTAGTGAACACAGGAGTGAGCTGATAGACACAGCACAGCGATCCTGAGGACATCAAATCAGATCCCGGCTCGTTTCTTTTGACTAGGTGAGCAACCACAGTGCCAATGACAGAAAGGACACAGCATTCAGACCCACAAAGCTGGAGAAGATCTCCAGATACAGTAGCATCGTATTAACTAGTCCACAGTTTAGAAGCTACTGTACGTGCTAGATATAAAGGTCCATTGCAATTAACCCTTACTGTTTTCTCTATGAGTGCTTCTGATGTTTAGACGATTCCGTCTTCTTATTTAATTAGTCCAACGGTAGCAGTTGTCACAGGTGCTCGTCTATTAGCAGGCGCCCAGTTTGGAGATGTCAGGCGAGGGCCTAGACTTGAACATTTGATGAGGACAACAGCAGCAATGTCCACAATGGTTTTCCTAGACACTCATCAATTAACACAGTCAGGGTCTGACAACTCTGGAGCGTGCACATTAGCCCTCTAAAATGTCTTACTTTCTTGTATCCACGAAATCCATGAATGAGAAGAGACCCCCGAAGCCATGCACTTATTTGCCAGAAGATGGCACTGTTGTACAATATTCGTCATTATCTCAAATGCATTTGAAGTTTCCTAACTTTCATAAATATCTTTTATTATTATTAATATTCCTGTCAAAGGTGGCTTTTGTGTACTGCATGTGCACTCACTTTATTTTACATATCATCTTTTTTTTCTAACGTAATTTCAGGCAGGGATGCCAGAGAAGAAGAAAGATTTAATTACAACGGCCCAGAGAGTGACTTGTGCTTCTTAATGATAAGAACCGATGGCAGGAAATGTAATGGCTTTATAATGTGGTCATTAAAATGAGTATTGTCTTGCTGAGTGGCACCTGTTTGGGATGATGAATGAGAGATGGCAGTCCATCCATCCATTTTCTAACCACTTTGTCCAATTCAGACTCTTGGGTGTAAACTGGAGACTATCCCAGCAAGCAATGGGTACAAGGTGGGATACATTCTGGATGGGATGCCAGTCCATCACCATGCATATAAAAACACAGACACGTTCACACCAGACCCATTTTCCCAGAAGCCAATTAACCTGTCATTATGTCTTTGGACTGTGGCAGGAAACTGTAGCACCCAGAGAAAAACCTACGTGAATATGGGGAGAAAAAACAAACACCACACAGACAGAACCCCAAGAGCTGAACCCAGGGCTCCAGCACTGCAAGGCAGCAATGCTCACCACTGTACACAGTGTGTGTGCTATAAAACTCTGAAGAGTCGTCACTTGCTTTTCTGAAGCCTTAATCTCAGGCCCTTTAGTGCTCTGTCAGGACTTGTGGTCCCACTTTACTTTATTAAATATGATTGATGTCTGGGGTGTCACATTCCTCCGCACTTTCAACGCTTGAGTCCTGGATTCAAATTCCAGACAGGAGCTCCTTCTGTGCGGAAGTTTTTTTCTGGCTGGGTGAATTGATCTTTCTAAACTGTCTCTGTGTGGCGCATGTAGTCGTGATGAACTGCATTGACATCACATGAGGGGCGTAGTCTCTCCTTGAACCCAATACTTGTTGGATAGGTTCCGTGTTTCTTTGTGACTCTGACTGGGAATAAGCAACTCAAAGATAATGCATGCACTTAATTTTGATTATATTGCCCCAGTTCACCATTTCAGCACTCAGTTGTCAGTGAACTGTTTGAATCTTTTAAAATATGCAGATTAAATCATTTTGAAAGCAGTGCAGTGTTTGACACTACAAACATCTGTATCAGACGGTTGTATTGCATTGAAGACCACTTGTCTCAATAAATCACGTGTCGCAGCCCTGCTTTCTGACATCTGGCCAAACTGCACTAGGATGTTTGCCTTTAAGAGCTGTCTGACAAAGATGCAGTGAAGTTCAGGTCTGTGATCACAGTGGAGAATTGTATTCTCAGGTTGCAGGGCTCTTTGTTCTACCAAGGTCCCCTATTAAAAAAGCTTCATTTGAATGTATTCCTTAAATAGCATCCAGTCTTGCCCATGGCCTGTATATATATTGAACAAGGATTCTTTACAAATATTTCACAAGAGAGCTGCTGTTTTAATGAAAACAGTAGAGATTTTATGTACAGAGATAAACATTATTTTGCATGTTTCTCTTACAATATTAACCATTTGACCAAGTGAAAATATTGAAATGAGTAAAAATGGCTTCATTTTTTTCTTTACTTTTTAAAGCTTAGATGCACTTAAGAATAAAACGCAAGCAGGATGCTTTGAATAAAACTCTAGTCAAAGACTGTGATTTTTTCTCAATATAAAAATAAAGAAATATTCAGCTGCAAGGAGGAAGACCAAGCCATTGGTGAGAGGGGGGAGAGATTTGTACAGGGAGATGTGATCAGGCTTCTCTTTGGTCAAATTGTTTGGTAGTTGCAAAAACCGATATAAACCTAAAATGTCTTTTTCTAAAAATAACATTTTATTTTTCTTGGAAAGGAAAACAGAAGATTAGGAGAAGCTGCCCTCATAATATCTTACAGAGATTAACTGAGGATGCATTGCTGAAAAACGGAAACTGGTTTCATCTAGGAAAACCATAACCAGAGGAAGGAAAGAGTGATTATAGGAGTACTGCTGTTCTGGGGGAGTGAAAGTTTTGTGAAAGGCCTAACAACATTATTCCTTGTATAAAGGAGTCCAAATACAGTAAAGCCTTTCTGGACTGCGATGCTCTTAATGAAGTCTATTTTATACTGTTGTTATGTAAATCCAGAGAGGGATGATTGGATGTGTGCTGACTGAAATGCAGCGGCCTGTCCGTTGCCTATTAATACTGCAGTTCATTAGCCCCGCTGGGAATTAATCCCTCCATAATTCAACATGTTTAAATGTGACAGAAAGGCCTAGTTAGCGGTGCTGAGTTTCTGTTATAAAGCTTTAGTTTATAAGCTTACAATCTTGATCATTTAAGGTTTCCTACTTAGGATATTGGCACTATTTATGCACAGTCTTGGCCTGCTGTATTTTCTTTTTTCATCTTCAGACAGACTATTTGATGTGGCCACTTTAGCACATTTGCTAAGCACCATTACTGGCTAATTGGAGCTAAATGGCTCATTAATAACTTAGAAAAGAAGCTCCATTAAAGACATTAATTGGGAATTATGAATGTAGAATATGTATACAAGTGATCATGGCCATATTAACGGGATGTCTTAATTGAGAAACTAATAAATGTTTTATTTGAAACTGATACTCATAATGCTGTGATGGTAATTGCAATTGCAATTGGATAATGAGTTTTTAAATATATTCATGTGAAATTATGACTTGACTTTTTAGTTTTTAATCAAGCATCATTTGAGCTGTGTCAGCTTTGAAGTTCCAAAGTAGTAAGCAGAGGTTAATTCCTCTACTTTTTTTCTCCTCTCTTTTTTCCATGCTGGAAAAAATAAGAAATGAATACGAAAGAAGAACATAGGGAGACAACTGAAAACTAAGAGGGAACTTCTATAGCAT